GAGAGAGAGAGAGAGAGAGAGAGAGAGAGAGAGAGAGAGAGAGAGAGAGAGAGAGAGAGAGAGGAGGATATGGAGAGAATTGGCGGCGGGGTAGGGTTTGGTGGTTCACTGCGCGCCAAAGGGTGACACGAAGTCGGCCACAGACCCTGGGATCCATGCTGCGGGCGGCTTAGATCGAAGCGGAGACACTTTCTACTGGAATGTTACACCGGTGCCAGGAAACGTGGAGCTGCCTTGTGGGATGGAGAGTGATGACGGTTGTTTGAGCCTCTTTTCCATCTTGCTGCCTACTTATTCACTAGCTCTCGGGATAGGATTAAAAAAAAAAAAAAAAAAAAAAAAGATGAATCCATCCGGATAAAGAAAAAAAGAGGAGGTGCCTACCATTTCAGTGTTCGGATATAAACCATTCGTAAGGTGTGGTTTATATCCACTGAAGTAGCAACGGACGCAGATGGAGAAATACCTGCTTTAAAAAAAAAAAAAAAAAAAAAATACCTGCATGATTAGTAGATTACTGTTCTCCGGATTCCCACTAGGCAAATGCATGAGCTACCTAAGACCTGCAAACTACGTAACGTAACCCCACTTCTCTCTTTATCCACGACCACCCCTTTTTTTTTTTTTTTTTTTTGACCACCCCTTTTGACTAGATCTCACTGCTACTACTGCAGAAATAACCGCTCTTCAACCGATCTTCAGGATGGGTGTCTTTCTTTGCAGCAGTATTACCAGTAGCTGCTAGACTGAGGGTACTATGAAGAAGAGTACAATAATTGTGTAAAAAAGTTGCTGCTGCAATCTTATCAATAGCCGACAAATTATTCCATACTACTGTAACCTATAGAAGGGCAGCTGGGTCCACGTGGCAGTCCACGTGGCAGTAGATGATTACAAGCATCTATGAACTAATTGGAGCAGTTGAAGACCTGTAGCAGTCCCTTGGGTGCACCTGTTGCTCTGTGGGGGAGGTTCCTTTTGCATGCATTCTTCAGCAGAGAGCTTCAGATTGCAGGGATCTACTGCCAGAAAGACAGAGTCATGGTACAAGGTGAAACCTCAACTGTGGTAATTCCGTGGTCCCCAGGGTGTTAAGTGCCGCTGTGCATGGAGGGGATCGCCCAAGTCCCCTTTTTTTTTTTTTTTTTTTTTAATTTGTTCCTGTTTTTTTTGGAACATAGAGGTGCAACCTTCTGTCCGGCTGGTAGTAAGAGCACCCACCATCTGGATGGAGGCGTTGCAGATGATGGCTCTATTCCAGTGCTGGGGAGCTTCCCCCTGCGGGAAGTAGGGTTCACCGTCTGATGTACAGAATAGACTGAGTTCTGGGATCAGTACCCAGCCTAGGTTGTTCCTTAAAGACTGCCCCAGAAGAGCAACACCCACTCTCTGTCTCTCTCTGTCTCTCTGTCTGTCTGTCTGTCTCTCTCTCTCCCCCTTGTGTGTACGGGATTCATACCTTATTCTCCCAAACATAAAGCACCCTCGGAATGAGCGTACATAAGCGATATTTCCAGTCAGGTACAGACAAATGAGAGAGCATTCTGTTTGGGGGAAGACAGTGGTAGGCGGGGAGGAAGCACAAAGAGAACGAACGTGCAGGTCGTTCGTTAAGGACAGCCGTTAAAACTGAAACGATACAGAGAAGATTAGCATGGCCACTGCGCAAAGATTTCTATATAACACCCCCCCCCAACGCCCCACAAAGAAAAGAAATGAAAAATGTCACACTGCAACCCCCATGCTCTCTCTCTCTCTCTCTCTCTCTCTCTCTCTCTCTCTCTCTCTCTCTCTCTGTGTGTGTGTGTGTGTGTGTGTGTCTGTGTCTGTC